TGTTAATAAAAATATATAGCTTAGATATATATATGTATACACACACACACACACACACACACACACACACACACACACACACACACACACAGTCTTAGATATCTGCAGACATTGTCGACCCTCCCCTGAGGGTGGGGAATATGAAAACAACTTACTTAGAGGTTTGTGAATGTCTGAGCTCTAGTCCCCTTTTGTCCACAGAGACGAGGAGGAGGCGTGGTGAGGATTGATTACTGAGATAAAATGCAGATTTTGCTTTCCCTGCAGAAGAAAACCCTGGGTAAATTCTCAACCCTGGGTCAGGTCTCTTTAGGGACAGCACCCCCGGAAGAGACAGTGACAATTTCAAGTCCCGTGCCACAGCCGGCAGCAGAAAGATCAATGAGAGGCCCATCTCCTGTTGCTTCTGGTGGATTTCTGGGCAAGAGCTTCCTGGCCCTACGCTTCCTCCCCAGCCTCCTGGAGCTCCGAGGGCCCGAAAGGGTTATGCCCAGCAGGCACTGAGATTTCAGATTAGCGATGGAAGAGATGGAATTAAATACGGACTGTAATTCGAAGCACTGCTTTTCATGGGAAAAGAAGTTCTCCCAACTTGGCCTGTCCAACTCTTCTGTCAAACATTAATAGCATGCAAATATTTATGAATCATACATGCCCCTTTCCATTCCCACGTATATTTTAACAATAAACACTGCATTTTGACAATGAGGCAGAATAATCCCTTTGTCCCGTAGCAGAGCTGTGCAGGCTGGCACCCAGCAGCATCAGACTCTTCCTGAGTGGTAACTGCCTGCTGTCTCCACCCAGCTTAGGGGGTTTATGGCAGTGTGACCCGTGCTTGCTTTGCATGCTGTTCCAGGCCATCCTTGCAGCTACCCGGAAGCTTTTCTTACCTCATCTTTTTAAATAAATTGCTAGTGAATAGTCACACATGGGTTTTCTCCGGAGGCTACAGGGAACCCAGAGAGTTGATCTAATCTGTTGCTCCCAGCCACCTCCTGCTCCGCTACTGTTTTGCCTCCTGGTCAAATTCCTGGGCTCTGGATTACACCAGAGGCACCCACTGAGCCTCACTTACCTTACGGTTCCTCTGATTTATCATACTTCCACAGAAATGCATATCTATTCAGAATGAGTCTGTGGGTCTTTGGAAGACAGCAGGAGGGAGTGTGAGGAGTGGCCAGGACTTTCTAGGACATTCAGGCCTTGGTTTTTCCTCCAAGATGAAAGGCATGGCAATGCCTTTCATCTGGGCCTCGCAGAGTGAGGATGATAACAGTGAGATGCTGTCCTTATGAGAGGAAGGAGGAGACTCTTCCTCCTGGAGTGGGATCTATGGGAAGAGGAAGGAGGAGATGACAGGAGCAGCCTGTTGAATTAGGAAGTTAGGAATGTGTACCCTCTCTTAGCGCCCCCTCCTCCATGGCGAGGAACTTTTATCCTTTTGTTCTGCTCAGGACTTGTAAAATGAAGGTGTCTAGGACACACAGATCTTCATAAATATTCACCAATAAATGCATGTATAACAGTAATAAAATAACTAATCATTTTGGAGGGCACTAAGTGTTGAACATATTCTATCCATTTCTCTGTTACATCTGTTTGCTTACCTTGTCCCCTGTAGTCATTTAAGGAGAGCATTTCTTTCTTCCTTCCTTCCTTTCCTTCTTTCTTTTGTTTTTTGGCACAGGGTAGCACTCTTTAGCCCGGGCTGGCCTGGAACTCACAGTCATCTCCTGCCTCAGCCTGTATTCACTGATTCATTGCATACGTATTGTGTGTCGTGTCAGTCACCAGGCTAGCACCGGAGATTCGTGAGTCAACCGAAGAGCAGTTAGTTATCAACATCAAGCGTTCATGAGGGGTGACAGTGGAGCAAACCCTCCCTGTTCTGAGTGGACATCTCTGTGACAAAGGACAGGAGCAAATAGAAGTTGTGTGCAACTTAGCGAAAGGCAGATTTCCCCCTTTCCCCCGGGAACTTGTCATGTCTGCTGATACCTGTGGCAGACAACAGTGTGTGTGTGTGTGTGTGTGTGTGTGTGTGTGTGTGTGTTGGGGGGCACCTTGCCTGTTGAAGAACCAAGAGATACTAGGGTGGTCTGCTCTGGTAGAGTAGGGTGAGGATGTAGTAACAGCCTTGACATCTACCCTGGCACTAGGTGTGATGCTAGTGACATGGCAAATGGCCAACAGGTTCTTAGCAAAGAGTGGCATCACCAGACACACATGATAGACAAACTTAGATTGCAGTGTGAAGAACAGGGAAGGCATTTGATGGGTGCTGGGGTCCTGAGAGACCAACCTGATGCATGCCTCCTCTCAGGCACCTTCAGATCTGTGCGTATAGAGTCTGCAAACACCTCCATGTAGTATGTGTCACTGACAGGGGACGTTAGCTCCCCCCACCCCAGGCTGGCCTCAGGCATCCAGCCCACCTGTCCCTGCTCCTTTCATCACAGCAGAGGCTCAAGAAGCTGGCGAGCAGGAACTGGAGAAGCAGTGCCACCTTCTCTTCTGAATGGCCACACCTGGACCCCAGCCTCCCTACTGCTCCCCATGTGGCACAGGGCTGTGCGGGGCTGTGTGTGAGGCTCTAGACCACTCGAACATGCAGGGTGATGAGTCAGGCAGCCTTGGGAAGCCACTTTGGGCTTCATCCCTGTGTGGCCCCTGGCTGGAAGACACAAGCCAGATAGACCAGCAGAGCCTGGGGAGTCTGAGTCTGTCTCTCTGTGGTCTCAGCCTAAAGAGAATCTTGTACGTGCCTGGGCTAAAATCAGGCTAGTCATCTGAGAGAATATGGGGCTCGGATCCCAAGTGAATAAGTAAGACAGAAGAAAACCTGCAGCCGGAGGAAAGAAAACAGAGTCCCAAGGGGCAATCTTGATGCTTTGAGGGTGGGGGCTGTCAAGTGACATAATGCCCACTTTTAGGACCTCTCCCGTAAGATAGCAAAATCTGTGGATGTCCCCGTGTCTTATTAAAAACGACACGGACACAGCATTTGTGTATAACCCACTTTTACTCTTCTTTCTCTTACAGTATTTACCCCATAGCATAGCCATGCTTTCCAAGCAGAGGCAGCTGCCACACTGGAAGTCAGCAGAACTCATTGATCCACTTTATTGAGTGTGTGTGTGTGTGTGTGTGTGTGTGTGTGTGTGTGTACTCACATGTGCATGTATGTGCAGGTGTGTGGGTATCCAGATTTCTCTGCCACTTTTGTTTTTGAGCCAAGGTCTCTCACTGAAAGTGGAGCTCACCATTTCATCTGGCAAGCCCCCCAACAATCCACTTGTATCAAACCCCAGAAGACAGTTACAGCTGTCTGCTGCCTACTGACCTTTTCTACAAGTGCAGCAGATTTGAACTCAGGGCTTCAAGCTGGTGCAAAAAGTATTTTGCCTACAGAGCCTCTTCTCATCCCATCAGCCCATTTTTTTGTATGACATTGGAGCAGAAAACACAACTGTGATTCAAGCACAGACCCTGAGCTCCACTGGCTCACTTCCAGAGAACTTGAGGGCAATGTAACATGAGGCATTTCTGTTCTCCAAGTAGATGGCCCCTTTCACGTGTATCTGGTCATTCATTCCGTGTAACCAGGCAAAGGTTATTTCTATGGAAAACTGAGTTCTGTATTGCAAGCTTTCGGTTAGGCTCTGGAGGCTTGGACTTGTGCCAAGAGTGGGGAGCTCTGGCCTGCATTCTGCCTGTATGGATGCAGATGGGGCTGAATCCAGCCAGCTGGACAGAGGAGCTCTTTGCACAAGATAAGATATACACACGGCATCTTCCAGAACAGCTCAGAGGAGCCAGGAGACTCCACGAAAGTCACAAGCCCCTAAATTAATTAATCATGCAGCTCCATTGTCAACAGGACACAGTGGTAATAGAAAGAGGAAGGGAGACAGGCCTGAGTGTTGGCTGTGAGGAGGCTCGGTGGGAAAGTCAGAGGTAAAATGCTGAGAGCACACTGGGAATGATACTGCTAGTGTGGAAATCATGTTTCCTTAAAAAAAAATCCCCCACCTGTGCGTGTGCGCGCATGCATATATGTGTGTGTGCATGTGTGTGTGCTCGGTGTGCATGTATGTGTATGTGTGCTCATGCATGGGTACATGTGCACAACATGTGTGTGTGTGTGTGTGCAGGCATGTGTGTGTGTATGTGTATGTATGTGTGTGTGTATGCAGGCATGTGTATGTGTGTATATGTGTGTGTGTGTGTGCGCGCATGAGACATGTGTGTATGTGTGTGTGCATGAGGTGTGTGTGTGTGTGTGTGTGTGTATGTGTGTGTATGCAGGCATGTGTGTGTATATGTGTGTGTGCATGAGGTGTGTGTGTGTGTGTGTGTGTGTGTGTGTGTGTAGGCATGTGTGTTCGTGTACATATGTGTGCAGGTCAGAGGACAACTTGAGGGAGTCAACTCTTTCCTTTCGCCATGTGGGTTCCAGGGATTGAACCCCGTGGCTGGGCTGGGCAGCAGGCCTTCACTCACTGAACCATCTCCCTGGCCTGGGTGAATCCATTGTGATGCCCAGTTACTTGTGGCCAGAATTAGATCTGGCATCATCTGCAGTCCAAGGGGAACTCTCCCTGCAACCTTTGAGAATCTTTGGGGATTTCCTGGGTTTGTGAGGAGCAGACCTCCCTAGTGGCCTTGATTTCTCAAAGGCAACATTTTAAAAATGCCTCCTTTTGCATGCTCTTGGGTGATTCGAGTAGAGCAGGCCAGCTCCCCGGCAGGGGCTTGTGTGGGTAGGGTGTTGTGGTGCTGTGTTAGGTATTTCTGCCGCGCCCTCGGCGGAAGAGCCTTTGCCTGTGGGATCTTCCTTTCGTGACAAAGGGCGAGTTTCACATCCCCAGAAACAGTCCCCAAAAGGAGAAGATGACTCACGCGTCCCAACCTACACCAAGGAGAACGAGAGTTACGGAACCACTGAGAAACGGTGGAGTAGAACTGTCCTCCCGCAGACCAAGAAAGGGCAGTGTGCTCCCGGCAAGAGACAGAGGGCTCGGGGTTGGGAAGAGGGTCTGGCCGCAGTGTAATGGTGTTTAGAACCTGGGCAGGAAGTGCTTTCCAGCCACCTAGAGTCTTGCTTACCCCTCACTTCCTAGCCTCAGCCCTCCTGAGGAAGGCTGTGTACATTTTAGTGTCTTGATCCTGTGGTTTCATCACTTGCTAGATGTGGAAAGAAGCACAGTGAGTCTCAGAGAGACAGAGTCTGCTAAGGCTTTATTAGACCTTAGAACTGTCACTGCTCACCAGTGAGCCCTGCCCGAGGCCCTGCAACTTCCAGGCCTTGGAAGCCTTGTCACATCACAGCAGTGAGTGTCCAGGAAGGTTCACCCTGTGACCTTCTTTCCGACTAAATAAAGCAGCTCGTATTTTGTTCTGCTCCATGGATGGACAGACTGGCGTCGAGGGAGACGCCACATGTCGCTGTCTTGGCTTGTTTATATAGCAGATCAGCCACTCACAGTTGTGCCTTACAGAAGGTTGCCAGCTGGTGACATGGCCATGAACTTGAAGTTCCAGTGGAACTCAGTCTGAGTAGTAACACTGTCACCTGCTGAACACTGCTCCTTTTCCACAATCAGTCCTACCCACAATCAGGTGCTCATGGCTGTCTCACCCCAGCCCCTCCTCACAGGATCTCTGGGGCTTCGAAATCTTTGTGGAAGGGTTGTCACATCTGTAACTTTTTTTTTTTTTTTTTTTTTTTTTTTTTTTTTTTTACCAAGACTTTGCTGGGTGCCCAGTCCACGCGTTCCTTATTTCTTTTAGCCTACAATGAAAAGACTCTGAGGCGTAAGGTGTTATTACCTTCCGTTTTGCAGAAGAGAGAACGAGGGCCCTGAGAGATTAAGAAACCCGGCCATAATTGCACAGACAACAAGTGTGGTTTGAACACAGGCACAATGACACTTAGCCCTCTCCCTGGGGATTCCCTGGGGCCTCATGGGCAAGCTTTGTCCCTTGTTGCTCATAGGGTGAGTCCAGACGACAGCCCCTTCTCCTCTCCTTATTCAGCCCTCACACCCCTCTTTATCACGTCTGCTCTCCCTGATCACAGTCACCCCTGGAGATGCTCCTGCTGCTGCTCCTGCTGCTGCTGCTTCATCCAGTACCAGGAGCAGAGCAAAGATTTCACTGCTTCCCTCTCTCCCTAGCTCCTCCCACCGGGTGACTCACATTCAGGGCATCTGGGACTTAGAGCTTGCCCCTCCCATGCCAAAAAGCCTGCAAGCAGTGTCCAAGATCAGCCCCAAGGTTATCAATGTCCTGGCCAGTGAGGGCTTCTGGGAAAGCAGCAGGCAGGAATATGAAGCCTCCTTGGGCAGCCCAGCCCCTCCCCCTTGCCTTGGGTCCTGAAGAGCCCAGGAGGGCTCCTGTTATTTTGCTGACCGGCACTCCTCTGGTCCCCCCTAAGCCCTTCCTCTTCTGGCTGCAGCTTGCTGAGAAAAACACTTGAAAGTCTTTCACTCTCCACACCCACGCACTTAAAATACCAAGCCCATAGGTCATTTTAATAAGGGAATTTGGCTAATGACACATGTGTGCTGGAGGCTGCAGCTCCCACGTCTGCAGGTGCTGGCCAAGCAGGGCCTTGTCTGAGCAACCATGGGCCTGGGTGGGTGGAGAGCAGGGCACCCTAAGATGTGCCTCTGGCTACCTGGAAGCCATACCTTGGCGATAGTGCCAAGCCCAGCTGGAAAAATCCAGAGGGATGGAGGTTGTGTTTTCACCCAGGAGAAAGATGTCACACTCAGCTGTGAGACAAAAGTCACCATAGCCTGTAGATAATAAGCAGATGGTGGCCTGGTCCTCAAAGCTCTCACCAGGACTGGGG